TGTTCTCCGGATAATCTCCATGTCTCCTGATGGATATGGTGTAGCTCTTGCCTTACCTCCAACCACTAGAGCCCACAACCATCCCTCTCTTTTGTGAACCAATACAATATTTAGAATCATAGAATGTCAACACCAGAAGAACCATCTGTAGAATACAGATGCTTCAAGCTGGAAAGGATATTAAAAGGCAGAACACCAAATGTCACAATGCTGGAAGAGACCAAAGAGCATAGAAAGATAGGTTAGATCTAGAAAGGACCTTTAGAGACTGGTGGCACAGTAGAGAGAGTCAGGGAGACTTGAGTTCAAATCTGATCTCAGACACTAGCTGGGCAAGTCATTTAACCCTGTTTCGGTTTTCTTATCTGTTTAAAAAAAAACAAACTGGAGAAGGAAATGGCAAACCACTTCATTGTCTTTGCCAAGAAAACCCCAAAAAGGGGCAGCTAGATGGTGCAGTGGATAGAGCACTGGGCCTGGAATCAGGAGGAGATGAGTTCAAATCTGGCCTCAGACCTGACACTTGGCACTTACTAGCTAGCTGTGTGACCCTGGGCAAGTCATTTAACCCCAATGCCTTACCGAAAAACAAAACAAACAAAAAAAAGCTTTTGGGGGCAACTAGGTGGTGCAGTGGATGGAGCACCGGTCCTGGATTCAAGAGGACCTGAGATCAAATCCGGCCTTAGACATATAACACTTATTAGCTGTGTGACCCTGGGCAAGTCATTTAACCCCATTGCCTAACCAAACAAAAAAAAAAGGAGAAAAAAAAAGAAAACCCCAAAAAGAGTCATAAAGAGTGAGACACAACTGAAAAATGACTAAACAATAATTCAAATCTTTTACTTTATAAGTCAGGAGATCATGACTCAGAGAAAGTGTATGATTTACTGAGGGTAACACAGCAAATCACTTCAGGACTGAAGAGAGGACTTCTAACTCCTATGGCAATACTTTTCATAGTACTTACCCTCAAAAAGTGGTTGTGAATCTCATATAAGATAATGTATTATAAAGTACTTTGGAAACTTTAAAGCAATGTGAGGGTAAGTATTATGGTGGTGGTGGTGGTGATTTTGCATCAAAATGGGTAGAATTCTGGCTTGGCATCTGAAAGACCTAAGTCTAAATTCTGCCTATCACTCTTAATGGTTACGTGACTGAACAAATTCTTTAAATTCTAAGAATCACAAGTAACTCCCAAGGACTTAAATACATGCCTGGAAAGAAAGCTTATGAGTAATTTTTTCCAACCACTTAGACAATGTTAAATTCAGGAGTTTGGAAATAGTTTGGAGCATCATTAATAATGATCTGAGATCTCATTGACCAATGACTGCTCTTGCCACAAAACTCAACATCACAAAGAAATCTGAATTTATGTAGTTTGAAGAGAAATCAGGAGATGAGATCTCAAGCCTTCATTCCTTTTGTTGTCGATTCCTGGTAAAATAAGGGAGGGATCCAGAAACCTATTGATTGACTGACTCCACTGAGCAAAAACAGAGGAAAGTTGATCACCTCTCCACCTCCTCCCTGTCCTCATCTCCAAGCCCCAAGGGCAAAACACACACACACACACACACACACACACACACACACACACCCTTTACCTGACCATTCCCACCTTCAGACCTTTGATAATGCTTACCTAGATCTACTCTGCCTTTTCCCACTAAGTGTTCCTGTTATCCAGGCCTGACTCCAGTACCGAATACCTTCTTCACCAAGCCCTGACTACTTGAGCCAGAAATTATGTTTCCCATTCATTGAGCTAAACTGAACTACAAATTAAGACATTTGATCATTCAATTTAATACTTAATTGGACAGGACTTATATCATTCTCTAGTTGTTCCATGTAGGCAAGTCTTGTCTCCGTCAAAAGAGGTCAGGCATCATGCCGTATAGAAAAAAAAAATTATCATCACAATAGTTGACATTAAAATAGCTTATATTTGTAATAATTAAAATTATTTATTTTATAATAGTTAATGTTTACATTCAATTTGATTAATAAGCATTCGTTAAGTGCCTACTATATGAAAAGCATTATGCTAAGATCTGGGAATACAATTATCCCCATTTTATAGATCAGTTAACTGGGGCCAGAGAAAGTAAATTAACCTGCCCAAGGACAGTGACCAAACCAAGATTCTAACTCAGGTCTCCTGACTCCAGATCTATCTCATGGTTCCATGAACAGGCTCTTAAATCATAGTGTGTCAGCTTTAAGTAAATATTTGGTTTTAGTTTTTCTTCAAATCTCCAAGTGCTGTGTAAAATATGGACATCTTATGGGCCCTTTATCTCAGTAGGAGACTTTCTTTTCCTCTAAGTATTTAGTGGCTTCCCCCCATGCATTTCCTAAGGAATCCAATTTCCTCATAGGCCTTATAGTAAATAACACATGTCCCTCCTTTTCCCTAGAGTCTTATGCTCACTGTGGGAGAGAGATGAAATAAGAAATATTTTGACAAGGGAGTAGGTATTTTTAAAGCTGCTACCCACCATCCAATGAAGAGCATGAAACACATGTATAAACAAATGTGTTAGAAGCAGATGGAAAGACAATTCTTTAAAATAAGTCATTTTAATTCCATCTGGAAGATGCGATCCATTCATTCATTCACTCATTATTCAACCGCCACTTATTAAGCAAATGAATGAGGAGCCCTTTGCCGGGTGGGGGTAGTTAAAGCTTTCACACATAACACTGTTCTCTACCCTCGATTCAATTTCATGAACAGTTATTAAACTGTTCTGTGTAAGACCCTGTGCATATGGAGAAAAAAGACGAACCAGTGCCTGCCCTCAAGAAGCTTATGTTCTATTGCTCTCAAAGAGCTCACAGTCTGTGTGGTTGTTCAGTCGATTGTCAGTCGTGTCTGACTCTTCATGACCCCATTTGGGGTTTTCTTGGCAGAGATACTGGAGTGGTTTGTCATTTCCTCTTCCAGCTCATTTCACAGATAAGGAACTGAGGCAAAAGGGTTAAGTGACTCCCCTGAGGTCATACAGCTAGTAAGTATCTGAGATCAGACTTGAACTCAGGAAGATGACTTCAGGCCCAGCGTGCAATGTACCACCTAACTGCCCAATAAGATATAAATACATACACATATATGCACACATATATGCAACATGTATGTATGATTGTATATAAATATGTGAGTAACTATAATATGTGTACATATTTATACATAAACAGCTAAGGATAAAAGTTTAGTTCACCTCTCCTGTCTTCATTTCTCACCGAATCAAAGAAAGAAGAGGCCCTCACCATTGGTGCAACTAATCCCTATTCCCGTGTTATTGAACCCATCTCTTTTTGATTTCTACAAAATCTTGCTCTTCCAATTACACCCTAACTCTACTGGATATTTTCCATCAACTAATAACTATTCTCAGCCCTGCCCCTTTATCTAAACAAAGTTTCCAGAACATTTGGTTAAGGCTGTATGGAAGACATATAAGAGGACAGGGACAAGAATCACATAACATGACAACATGTGGATGGAATTTGACCTGTCCCTTTAGAGGGTGAGACCTCATTGACAAATTCATGGACTGTTTTTGGTATTGTCACATTCTCATTTCAAAGATCCATAAAAATAGTATGAATGCTCAGGATAGACTGTTTTTAATTCCCAGTCATCATTGTCAAGTAAAGTTTTGGTTCACTGAAATCCGACTAACCAAAATCAAATATAAGCTCACCATTTCTTATGGCACAATAGTGTTCCTTTTTTTGTTTGTGTTTTCTTTCCTAACGTGACTAATATGGAAATATGCTTTGCATGCTTGCACATGTATAAGCTATATCAAATTGCTTACTGTCTTGGGGAGGAGGGAGAAAGGGGAAGGAGAAAGAGAATTTGGAACTCAAAATTAAGAAAAAGAATGTTGAAAATTGTTTTTATATGTAATTGGAAAAAATATTCAAAAAATTTATAAATATATACTGTTTATCCATAACAGCCCATCAGAGGTTGTCTTTTCAGATAGTGATCATGTCTTCTCCCTTATCTTTCTTTTTTCTCAAGGCTAAATATCCTCAGTTCCTTCACGTGATCTTTGTATAACGTGTTTTCAAGTCCCCTCACCAGTATAGCTGATCTCTTGAAACTCCCTTCATTGCTCATTACTTTCTTTAAATGTATGTCCAATAACTTGTAGTGTTTGTATATAAGAGGAGAATATGGTGAGATTCTCTTCTCTCTCACTCTACATACTATGCTTCTTTTATAGCCTAAGATTTCAGCTTCTTTGACTCACTAACTTTGCAACTGACCAAATCCTCCAACTTTTTTAATAGTTCAATACTCAAAAGAGTGGTGATTTCATCAACATGGCTATTCCTTCCACCAACCCAGATTTCAACCCTTCTAAGGCTTGAAGATGGTCTTCATAAGTTGCTATGACCAAAAAAATAAAACCAACCCAAAAATAATAACAAAAAAAAAAACCAGCCATTGCCCTGTAGTCAATATTCTGGTCATGAGTGTCTCTGCACCTGAGTATTTTGGTTCTCAAATAATAGGCCTACAATCTATACTTGGTCCTATACTGACTCTTTCCAGCTCAGTGGCACCTGTCAGAGTTCAGACCCCAGGATCACCCTTCAGACATGATGAGGCATCAGAAAAGACTTTTGAGGCAGCTGAGTGCAATGGGATATAATATAGTTGTAGAATAGACTATAATATAGTTGATCATAACTTTGATTGGAAATTTTTGTGCTTGGTGCAGGTAGTACAAAGCATCCTTGGAGCAAGCAACACAGAATATATTCTCAGTTCAGTTGAAGACTGAATGATAGCAGAATGTAAAGTGAGGAAAGGAAAGTTGAGCCAAGAAAGAGCTTACCAGGGGTACTAACTGGGAGATATTCTTAGTTGTTCAATATTGCTTAAGGACAGGAAATGTTGGAATCTCTTTAAATGGGAAAAATCTCATGTGGCCCTAATTTTGATAAAATATTTTAAAGGGGCTTACCATGCTCATCCAATAATATGTTGTCTGGTTTGATGTCTCTGTAAAATAAAAACATAAAATAAAATAAAACACAACATGTTTTTACCACCAAAATGGCTCAATCCTTACAACAATAAATGTCTACTAATCCCTAGCATGTTTTTCTTTCTCCATTTGTGAGTCTTACAAGACTAGAAAGACAAGAATAATTGCTTTTAATACAGTTACTGGGCTTTTAGTTTCTCTGCTTCCTTGGCATTATCAGCAGACAGACTCAGATGTTTCCTAGGCCTTATTTTGGGCTCTGCTATGGCCTATCCCATGGCAATGACGCTACACCAATATAGCAATGTGTAGTAAGCATATTAAATCATTGATATGTATCCTTTGACCCAGTGATTCTCATTTTTATGATTATACCTTAAAAATGTAATCTATGAGGAAGAAATAAAAAGCAACAATAATGCTCGTGTTCAAACAATTGGAGAAATGTTAAATAATTTATGAGATGGTGTGTTTGTGCAATGGAATATTATCGTACCCTGAGAAACTATGAATCTCTGGGGAAGGCAACTAGTTGTCTTCCATTATTAATTATCAATAGAGCTCTTTGATGCTGGTGATTGAATGAGATTTGATCAGACCCTTGGGTGTGTTTGTGAGAGAGAGGTAGTGGAGCTACCATTTATAAAACACACACTGGGATTGTGAGCAGGTGGAGGGGAGGGAATGTTTGTTGTGAGCTGCTGTGAGAAATAGAGTGACAAGATTGGAGAAGAGCATGAAATGGTCCTTTGGGAGGCCCTAGCATGTGTGTGATGGGCAGAAGAGGGAGGGAGATAGAGAAAAGAGAAGGAAGGGGGGCAGTGGAAGAGATGAGAGAGACAGCAAGAGAGGTGAGAGAGAGGTACAGCAGGAGAGAGGAAAAGAGAGAAGAGGAGGAGAAGGAAGAGGAGAGACAGACAGACATTCTGACAGACAGGGAGAAAGAGAAAGAGGCAGAAACAGAGATGCAAAGGTGAGGTATTCTGCTTATGGCAAAATGTAAGAGTCAAAGAAGGGCTCTTGGAGATCAAGCAGTCCAAGGATTCTTCTGTACCTCTTTTGTACCAGGGAGCCTTTTGGCCATCTGATGAAGCCTATGGACCCATTCTCAGAATGATGTTTTTAAATGCATGAAATAAAATACATAAGATTACAAGGGAAACCAATGAAGATATAAAAGGGGTCTTTAGTGGAAAGATAGTACTACCACAACTGCAATGATATGGAAACCTCTCTATAACCTGCATCCTTTCAGAGTTGCCTGAGCCTCAGAGAAGTTAAGAGACCTGAACAAGGTCACATAGTCAAAAGATGTAAATGATGGGATTTAGACAGATGTTTTCCTGACTTCAAGTCTGTTTTCCTCTCTCCCCACCAAGCATTTCTTTGTAGTGTTTTGTAGATGATTGGATGTAATACTAGGAGTATTGATTTTAGGGGCAGAAGGTCTGGGAACAAGAGCTAGTTCAAACATTGACAATGTGGCATTGGGTGAGTCATTTCATCTCCATGGGCTTCATTCAGGTTCATCTGCAATATGGGGGCTTAGACATACCCTGTTCTAATTCTAGGCTTGGCAGTACCATAGATGGTATTGGACTTGTAGGCAGGATGACTTGAGTTCAACTCTGCCCTCAAACACTTACTGGCTGTGTGACCCTAGGCAAGTTGCTTCACCTCTCTCTGCCTCACTATCTTCATCTGTAAAATGGGGATAATAATAGCACCTACCCCCTTCCAGCATTGTTAGGATCAAATGAAATTAAAGTGTAATAGAAATGCCTCTGGTTATTATAAAGGAAGGAATTTTAGAGTCCATCTAGTCCAATCCCTTCATTCTACAGATGAGTGAACCAAGATGGCAGAGCAAAGACAGGCACTTGCCCGAGCTCTCTCAAATTCCTCTCCAAACAACTTTAAATAACGCCTCAAAACAAGTCCTAGAACAGCAGAACTCAGCAAAGGATGGAGTAAAAACAATTTTCCATCCAAGAAAACTTGGAATATTGACAGGAAAAGCCTGTTGCACCAGGGTGAAAGTGAAGCACATTCCATTACAGGGTGTGCCAGTCTTTCCCTACTCCAGTCCATTCTTCCCATAGCCACTATAATAATCATCCTAATGAGTACATTAAACTAGGTTATTCCTCTGCTCAAAAGCTTTCAGTGGCTCCCTATTACCTCTATGATGAAATAAAAATTCTTTCTCTTGGCATTTTAAAGTATTCCAGATAAAAATGTTCCAACCTATCTTTCTGGCCTTATTTCACATGACTCTCCTCCCTACATGTTCCCTTTTAGCCTTACTGGATAGTTGGCTATTCCCCAAAACTCTTATTTTGCTTCTGTGCATCCATGAATATTTCCCCTCCTGACAGTCCAGTCTAGAAATGTCTCTTCATTTCCACCTGGTGATATCCGTCTTTCCTCCTAGGCTCAGATTAGGAGCTTCCTACTGTATTATTCTCCCAACTGAAAATATTCTTATCCTCCTCAAATTATCTTTGAGCACCTTGTCTGGACCTCTCCTTTGCCCCCAACCTTGTATCATATATCAATCACAATCAAACAAGTATTTATTAAATCCCTACTATGTTCCAGGCACTGAGGATACAAAGAAAAAAAATGAAACTATCCACTTCCTTTGAAGAGCTTATATTTACTAGGGAGACAATAGATACAGGTATAATCATGTACAAAAGACATACAAAATAAATACACGCAAAGAAATGCTATAAGAATTTGGGAGCAAGAGAAAGCACTAATAACAATCAGGGAAACAAAGGAAGGCTTTCCATAGATGTGGGACTTGAGCTGAGCCTTGAAGGAAGGAAGAGATTCTAAGAGTCAAAAATGGAAAAGGAGTGCATTCCAGGGATGGGAAATCGTGTGGGCAAAGGCCTGGAAGTATTACAATATGTAGGATTCTGAATTCGTGAAATGACAAATAGGCCAAGTTTGGCTGCATTCTTCACTTTCCCAGGCAGATTTACTCAATATTTCATTTTAGTAAACCGTATCATTTCCACCTCAGAATCTTCTAGCATGATGCATAAAAGCAACCTGGTTGATCAACCTCTGCTTCTTATATTTTAAACATTAAGCTTTGAAATATTCATCTCCATTAGGAATCCTTTCTCTTTAAATTAGACTACTGTTTGATAATAGAAGGGAATCCTGGTCAGGAATAGTTAGACTAAATGGCCTAGAATACCTTTTCCAGTGGAAAGGTCTTATGATTCTATGAATTAATCAAATGTATAGAGAGAAGTTTCTGGGATAGATGCCTTTTAAATGTTCCTCTTCGCTTGCTACCTTATCGTCATCAAAATACTTATTAGTGCCTATTAAGCCATACTATCACGCTCCCTCATTTTATAGATGAAGAAAATGATGCCAAGAGTGGTCATGGTTTGCCCAAGATTATGAGGCCAAATCATCCAAGAGGATGATCCATGTCTGATGGTTGCCATTATGGTCCTCTTTCCCCCATTTTGACTCCTAACACAAAAGCAAAACAGGAGTTATTGCTGTATTTTGGTGACATAAATGCCAAAGTGGTGCTAACTGCTGCTTGCTCTGTCCTGTCATGTACTGTCCTAAACACCAATGCTGTGAGGTTTACATAAAATGACAAGACGTGAACTCTTCCTTTATGGTATTTTTGAATTTTCTAAGCGATTTTCTAAAATTTTATGTTATAACTTTATTGTTAGTACCATCCCAGAAGCTGGCTTTTAGGTTGTAGGGGCAGGAAGGCAGCAACTGCTGCCAATCAATCTAATAAGAGTATCCCCTTCTTCCCACTCCGATACTGCTTTCAGGCTTTTCATAAAAGTACAGATCTCAGGCCTACCACTAGTCCATCATACTGCAGCTGTGAAACTGAGCATCTTGGAAAGAAAGAGAGAAAGCCAACTGAATCTCTGTGTACCAAAGCAGCGTGACTTCTGGGGTCTGTTGTTCCCAAGTGTATTTCTCTGTGTCTTTTTGGTGTGTGTGGGGGGGGGGTGCAAAGGGAGAGGAGAGCACATCATGCTGTGAGCCCTTTGCTTCTGGGACACAGAGCACACCAAAGGGTTTTGCTGAAAAATAAGGTTACTGATAGCCGCATCCTTGTCAGTACTTTTCTGTTGCTGTTATTCAGTCATTTCAGCTGTGTCTGACAGTGATCCCATTTGAGGTTTTCTTGGCAAAGATACTACAGTGGTTTGCCACTTCTTTCTCCAGCTCATTTGACAGATGAGGAAACTAAATAAAACCAATAGGGTCAAAAAGCCAGTAAGTGACTGAGGCCAGATTTGAACTCGGGAAGATGAGTCTTCCTGACTGCCGGCCCAGCACTCTATCCACTGAGCTACCTAGCTGCCCCCAACACTTTCTGAAACTTCCCTGTTCTGGGAGGGCCTGACACAGAAGACAGTGACAAGAAGTACTAAATTCTGATATCTAGGCTATAAATGCCCCAGGAACCCAATGGGACAGAGGAATCTGAGCAAGCTTCAAAGAAGAAGCAGACTTTGAGTTAGATCACGAGGAGTGAGTAAGATGGGTTTGAATTGGTGAGGGAGTGCATAAAAAAAGGGCGTTCCATGGGGCAGCTAGGTGGCACAGTGGATAGAGCACCAGCCCTGAGTCAGGAGGACCTGAACTCAAATCCAGCCTCAGACACTTGACACTTACTAGCTGTGTGACCCTGGGCAAGTCACTTAACCTCATTGCCTAACAAAAAAACAAAAAACAACGAATAAAACAAACAAACAAACAAAAAAACCAAAGAGGGCCTTCCAGGTAAAGGGAAGAAGCCAAGCAAAGGCACAGATGTGGGAATGAGTGAACTCAAATGTGTGCTTCATTGTTTTGGGAAGCAACAAGCTTGAAAAGGAAGAGTTGATTCTGTAAATACTTCACTGTTGGTGACAAGCTGCTTCCAGTTGAGTAAGCCCCCTTGAGACAGTGAGTTCTGTTTTGGGTATGTTGAGTTTCATACAACTATAGGATGATTACTTCAAAA